CCCAGTAGGGCAACGGCTTATAATCCTCTCCGTAGTCCCTACAATCAACCCCACACAGGCCCTCCAAGTCCAACACTTCAGTCGTGTGTTGAGTCACAAAGAGGATGTCCCGGCCCATGACCACCAGCCGGGTCGTGGACTTGGGCTCCCACTGAGGAGACCCGCGCAGACTCAAATAATCAGCAACCCTAATTGAAGTAGGGGAACACGGGTCCTGCAGGTCCCAACACTCCAAGGTATCGCATTTTGTGAAGGCAAAGAAGAGCCCGTGGCCTGGGGAGTAGACGCAGTCACGGTAGCAGCCATACGGATTCACCCCGTCGTCCGGGGCAAACGGGTCACCCATTGGAGCCCATGTGGCATTGGGCCGGGCCGGGCAGCAGAAGGCCATCATTCCGCGCAGCTTGTAGATAATCACGGCCCTGCAGGCCTCGTCGTCCGGGGAGGAGGAGAGGATGATCTTCTCCACGCCAACCGAGTCTATATCCAGGTTGTGGTTGTAATTGGGGATCTCGTTATATGGAGGAAGCTTTATGTGGCGGCGGGATATGGGGTTGTAGAGTAAAATATCGTGGGTGTGAGGGTTCCAAATCCCGACCCAGCCGTGGGAAGAGCCCGTGAAGAACATGACATCGCCGCTGGCGGTTACTTCTCGAGCCGCCCCTTCGCAGGTTAGGGTTACGACCCTCTTCTCGCCCAGGCTGTAGAATTTGTAAGCCGCGGTGGTAGAATCGGATTCCAAGACGGGGGGGAGCATCAGCCAAGGATATATCGGGGAAGATGAGGGTGGAGTTTGCGCCGTCCGGCCGCCAGTGCTCATCGGAGGGCAATGTAAGGGCTTCCATTTCCCAATAATCCGACAGCCGGGGAACGCTTTCCGGCGAATCGTACGGGCCACAAGTAGTGAAGAAGCCATCGATGGTTGGTTGCTACGCGCTGCCGTCTCCATTGAGCCTTTAGAGAAGCACAAATTGGATAGATGTGGGACGGCGGCCATTCCTTTTTCTTTATAGGTTTTTTCTCGCTTGACCATTTAAAGTTAGAAGTAATACTCTTTGTCATAACTAACTTGTCACTTATAGTCTATCGATTTTTTTGTTGCACAAAAAATTTTGAACTTTTTATTACAGTCCAAACTGTTTGCCAATTAGTTTATCAAGTTTTTTTGTTCATAATATTAAGATTGTTGATCTTAGTGACCATATATAAACAAATCAATGTATGTTTATCATATGTTTTTCAATAATTAATTTAGTACATCATCCAGACAATGTTAAAAAAAAAAAAAAAAAAAAAAAGCTCTTAAATTTATTATATATATTTGAAAGTAAAGATTTTCATTTAAAAGTATCGGTTGGGAGGAGGGAATAAGGTGAGATATTTTGTAAATTTAGACTTTTTGTTAAACGACTCTAATAGTTTAACAATTGTACTCTTTTAACAAATATACATACTTTTAAACGCAGTCATGCGTTCCACAACGTACAAACGGGGTTCTTGTTGCCAAATCAAAATTTAGTGACCGACAAAAGTGTCCGAAGGAATTTCCAGCGTTAGCACTCCAATGCTCAAAATAATTTATACGCACTAAATATTGAAAGAACTCATATCCCCTTTTTCATATCTTGAGAAGATCTATTTATATTGTATAGGTCATCTCTTCTTCAAGTTCTTCTAGATTTACAAGATCTTTCTAGGCCTAGAAAAATATCCCGAAGATATCGAAAATCTTCTTCCCATGTCTCCGTATAATTCATCCATGTCCTGACTACCTTATGTATCCTTTTATATGCTCTTGGTTTCTCCTTGGTTAGACAACTCGACCTAAAATAGCTTTGTTCCCTTATAGATCAAGCATGATCATGTTATCCGAAAACCCAAACTCGAACACTTTTCATGGAAAATTAGCTCGATATTGACTTCCTGACTCCGCAACTCTAAACTGTACATGAGAGCCTTAAGTTGTTTATCGAGTTGATATAGATGGTTGTATCACCAAGTATTATATTTTAAAAAACAACGAACAAAAAAAACTAATTGTTCAAAGATTATAACGTGTGGACCCGTCTACCTATTGAGTTGACTTATACAAAAAATTGTATTTTTCAATTTATATTGTTCATTGACGAATCAAATGTTAATTGACATTATTACAATACCTAATCATACATCCACAACAAAATTGTATCAAATAGAAATAATCTCATTACTCATAAATAAATATCCCAGTCTAATTGGATATTTGACACTCTCGATTTATTCTTAGTTGGAAAACTGATTGCATATTTGGTGACCCTATAGACCTTTATAAATTGACATAAATCTAATTTATGATCCTTTCGAAACTCGCGACAAGTGATGAACTCAAAATATGAAGTATATTTACATGGACAAAACAAACAAACCTTTAGAGTAGAACTTAGTTGTGATACGGTCCCTTCATTCACGAACCACTCGATTAAGCTTAGAACTTGAAAGTGTGTCTATCCAAACAGATTATTTTATCTCATCTTATTGTTTGACTTTAATCAATTACATTTGAACATAATTTCAAATATAATCACGTGCATTGACCAATGACTTTATCAACACAGTATAGAGAAAATGAGTATTATCTCGAAACTATATTCGAGGAATGAATTCTATTTTGACTCAACTACCAATTCCATGTATATCGTAATCAACCCAACACAAGTCCATATCTACCCCATAAGTAGTGTAAGCATTGGACTAAGTCTAGGTAAATCACTCTATACACGAATTGTGTATTGACCTCAAGTTAAAAAAACTATTACACCATTCCACTCACTGGTATTAGGATATACCAATACTCTCCACATTATCCATGTGTCTGTCACGAATAACAATTATTCATAGTAGTGAGACATACTATATATATTCTTCAAGAATATGATGCAGATCACATGTCAATTTATTGCATATCATTCGTATCCCTCCCTATATATTAATTCAAAACGTGTTGAGCCTAGGTGGCAGATTCTCACGCTTCGGATGCTGACATGGCGAAAATCTATGCTTTGTGATGTTGTTTTTATGTTATTTTTGCTTTGGAGTTAGGTTTGGTATTAGACATAAATAACTTTACACACAACACCCATGTTGTACATGGGTACTAATACTAGTTCCTTGATTAAACCCCAACAAATGCTTGGCATAAGAAGGAAAAAGTTTAAATGATTCCTCAAATAATGATGAAGTGTGGCCTGATAAAGTTCCACAAAAAAAATCCCCTCAATCAAACACCACGGGTGAAAGAAATGGCCATTGTCAATAGCCTGTGCAGATTTTACCAAAGTAAAAACAGGACCTATTCAAATTCCCAAGGAATGTTAAATTCCTTATTAAAGAAAAAATAACAATGAATCCGGTCCGAATAAACTTAAATAGCCCGACCCATTTATCCAATCACTCTCATCAACCTCACATACAATTTGTTAAGGCCAATAAGGCTAATTAATCATGGCCACTAAGCTTAAATCACAAATCAAGTCAAGTCGGGTCAAATGAAAAGTTTGATTAATGTGATTCGGCCAATAGGCCTAACGTGTAAGGAGACATTATTTAGGCTTTTCAAATCTCACTAATTTCCACGTAATCTCATTACTTAAGTTATTCCTTCGTATGTTGATTTGTTGTGGATTTTAATGATGGTTTACTTAAAATGGAATAATAATAAAAAAAAAATAAGGGACAATTTGGCACTCAAAGCATTATTATTGGTTGTTCTTAATATTACTAAGTAAGAATCTTGTTAGGCAATAGAGTAGGGAAAATGCTCAGGTCCCGTTAAGGAACTATTCTGTCGAGATTTATAACCGTTAAATAATTATGTAACCGTTAGAGATAGTTGATCTAACGCTTACCAAATTCTGACGAAATGATTCCGTAATGGGACCATAACATCTTCCCTTTGGCTAATAACACATTTTCAATAAAGGATGCGTATTTTTATACTTAAACAACGTCATGAGAAAATCAACATAATAAATAAAAATATAGAATTTCAATTATATGAATATACATTTTTTTTTTTCTTTTACTTTTGTTCAAAAATTTATGACATGCACATGTAAAGCTTAACAATGTGGCATTTATGACCAAGAAAATACCATGTTATGTGCTTGTACATTTATAAAATGTGTGAGCTAGCTGTATATGTGGGTGAATGAGTCACATATTGGATTATTGGCCTAGACATAACATTGTCCTATGCTCGTATTCTTTCACTAAAATAGGCATATTGAAAACCCATTCAATTAAATGTGAATTTACTTTGGTTGGTTGGATTTTTATTCACCTTTGGCTCTTATCGAGGTAAATTTCAAGAATCAAGGGCCTCCACTCTTCTCTTCCCATCTTGTCACTTAAATTGTGAAGAATCTAGTTGATTGTGTCTAGACTAGACAAAGAATTGAAATTATATGCTTTAATAAAAACATAAATACTAGGTTACAACTAGGGCTGCGAACGAACCGAGCGGCTCGCGAGCCTCTCGCGAGTGCTCGAGTCAAAGCTCGGCTCGAGCACGAACTCGAGTCATGTTTTATTGAACTTGTTAGTATCAATGAAAAGCTACAAAATATATACTATGTTCCATCTAATCATGATATTATTTGGCAAGTTAAATTCCAGACAAAACATATTCCTCAAACACAGCCGTACAAACCAGCTGATATAACTAGCAAATGGAGCCATATATAATATCCCATACCGAAAATAGTACTGCTACTATGTACCGTACCGCACCGGATAGATAATTTTTTTCGACCGAGTTCTAATAATTCCATAGCAAAGTTGGGATCTCGGAAAAACACTAAGTCGAGCACGAAAACAACCGACAAATAGCCCAAAAAGATCATACTAACAATAGGCTAAAGTCTCAAAAACTAGCAAAGTTGCTAAATACTACTAATTTATTGTCTAGGCATAGTTAAGGCTTAGGTCAATGCAAGTCGGGTCGGGTTGAGTCGAAGTCAAACTCAGTCCGAGGCAGCTGCCAAACTCGGGCTCTTGGCAGCAAGCTGGGATGGTGGCTCGACCGGTGGGCCCGAGCTGGGGGAAGTCGGGGGCTCCTCTGAGCTGGCGGCAGCAGGTGCTTCTGTGGCCCCCACTGGAGTATCAGAGTTGAGTGCCGGCTGTTTTGGTGGCTCGTCTCCCGTTTTTGCCTTCCCCTTTTTGGCGTCGCCTCTCAGAATGACGTCGCGGAGCCTCTGCACGTCCGGGAGCTTGACGGGCTTCAAGAGGAATTCTTCAGCCCCTTCTTGCAGACAGCTGAAAAAAAAAATCGAGAAGCGTATTTATTACACGAGTCGATTGGCTAATTTGTATGGATAGAACTTTAAAAGCATATTTGAGGATGAACAAGTACTAGCAAGAAAACTCAGCTTCATGTTCAACAGTTCAAATATCAAGATATTGTAATCAGTGTAATGCTTAATTTTTTGTGGCGATTTCAAGAATGTTCCAAGTGTAAGTTCATTTATCTAGCACAAATGACATAGCAAAAATGAGAAATTAAGCCCAAAAAGAAAATACATATCAATACTAGCAAGAAAACTCAGCTCCATGTTCAAGTATCAAGATTTTGTAATCACTGTAATGCTTATTTTTGGTAGTAATTTTCAAGAATGTTAAAGTGTAAGCTAATTTATCCATCACAGATGACATTAACAAAAATGAGAAACTAAAGTCACGAGGCAAAATACCTTTCGATACGAGCAGCAACATTCTCGGACGACATGATCGCCACCGGAATGTCCTTCAGCTTGGCCGAGCCCTGCCAAAACAGGATAAACAATAAAAACACCATCAATAAGGAAAAAAAAAAAAAAAAAATTGAAAAAGAGGTAGTAAACTAATGTTAGATTTATTCAGCATTTTCCATTTACACACACAAAACAACCCAAAAAAACAGGAAAAATAAAAATGAAAAACACCAACCTTGATCTGCTGGAGAAGCTCAAACCCAGTCATTCCAGGCATGGAATAGTCAGTGATCACCAGATTCACCATCAAGCCCTGTAACCAACATTAAACAGATATTACCATAACAAAAACTCCTTAAACAATAAATTCAAACAGTACTCATAAAGAAATGTGTTCTACTAAAAGAAGATACAAAAAAATAAAATAAGATTAGGGGGAAAAAAATAGCAAAAGAAGATTCTATTTTTGAACTGCTCCCTAGACCCAAACCAAAATAATTTAAAAAAAAAAGAATACAAGGGGTTTTTTTATTTATATTGTAATGATTAATTTAAGATTTACAAGCTAAAACAAGAAAAGGGATCATCATCGGTTGACTAAAAACCCAAAGCCACCACACTAAAACCAGCACAAAGAAACAAGAAAACAAAAGGGCATCAAAACAACAAAAACCAAAAGCACCAAAACAGAGAACAAAAGAGATTATTCCATTTTATATAATTTTTTTTTTATCTTACATCAAATCCATGATCAGAGCTTTTCTCCTCGTCCAGCCCCAAAACCTGCAGAGCCTTCACTCCACTTTCCACAGCAGTCACTGCAAGAAAACCTCATTCACAACCATTTTAGCCCAAAAAAAAATTATAAACCTCAGCCTAAAAGCTAAAACCCACCAAAAAAACATAAATAAAAATCAAACCTTTACAGCCAGAAATCTTGAGCAGGCGCTCGACAACCTTCCTGTCGACAAGGCTGTCATCAACAACAAGAACATGCAGCTCCGGAGCAGCCATTGAAGAACCTTCACCGCCCATTTTTGCAGCTGCCATTTTTCGGAAAGTTGGAATCTTTTTTTTGCTCTGTGGATTTGTATGAGGTTGAAGGCCAAGAAAACTACAGGGTTTTGTTTTGGGAGGCCGTTGGGGGGAATATATAGAGGCGGTGAGCTGAAATGTGTGAGTGTGTGTGTGTGTGAGTGTGTGTGTGTGTGTGAGAGAGAGAGAGAAAGAGAGGTTAAAAATTTACAGAGGGGGGAAAAACGAAAGGGGAAAAATCGGTTTTAGGGAAAAGGGGAGACAAATAGGGGAAAATATTTGCAAATCCACACCGCATTATATATCCGACTTGTCGCTGCTGACAGTTTCAAAGATTGGATTAAGGGCTGAAAAGGGATAATTAATTAATTGATTAATAAATAATAATATAGTTAGAATGTGCTCAAGTGTGCGTACGCTGTTTCGGGGTTGGATAGAATCTGCATTTGGGGCTACCTTTTTGTTCATATATAGAATAGAATTGTAAAGTGTGCTCAATAAAGAAGTTAATTTTTTTTTTTATTTTTTGGTATTATTTCAAAATAAAGTAATACTTTTTATTTTATTTTATTTGTGACATTTTAAGTTTGAATGTAGCTATTGTTGTGCAGGTCGTAATAAATACTTCAACATGAATCTAATGCTAAAATTCAAATATAAATACGGCTACCTAATCATTAATAAATCTTTCTAATTGCTAACATTATCTATATGGTAATTTACTAGACACATAAAAAAAATAGCAAATTCTTGTATGAGCTGACTTTTCGTGAGACGAGTGAACCCGCCAGTCTAGGGATGGCAATGGGCCCCTAAAACTCGAAACCCGATGGGTAAAAACCCCATTAAGAGCCGGGTATGGCTAAAATTTGGCCCCATGGATCTGTTAATGGGGGAAAAAGTCCCCCCACCGAGTCTAGCGGGGATGGGTCCATTCCTCCTCCCCCCATACCCGTTAACCCATGGGTATAATGTACCCGATATAATTTGGCTCAATATATGTTTTGGCCTAGCCCAAAAGAACTCAGCAGACAGCAATACTACTAAACCCTAGATATAAGAGGCAATCTCATCCTCTTGCTCTCCCAGTCCCACGCCCCCACCCACCACGCACACTCGCAGTCGCTCTCGCTGTCTTGAAGCTCCACTCCACTCCACTCGGCCACTCCACTCCAGGTCGGCAGCTCTTGCATGTGACCGGCGGCTCCATCGCTCCACCAAGATGGCTGGTTCTGCTTCCGCAGCCGCGCCGGTGCCGTCGAGCCCGCAGGCCGCAACGGGATAAGGCGAGCCGAACTCCACCTCGAGGCCGGCGGTCAGGTCACTGACGCCGCCGCTGCAGATCCATGTCGGGAATGCTGTGTCCTCACTGGAAACGCCAACTTCGTCTCACTGTGTCCTCACCGGAAATTGGGTATGTGTCACCCGACGGGTACCCGTCACCTACACGGGTGTCGGGTCTGAGGGAAATCTGGACCCGAGACGGGTGATGGGGGCGGGTGACGGGGGTATTTTCCCTAATGGGGGCGGGTGACGGGGAGTGCCCCCAGCGGGTTTGTCACCCATTGCCATCCTTACCCGCCACTGTACAAACAAAAACTTTTACTTATAATATGAAATGTCGTACTTATGTTTAAGTTGGTATTTCAAATATGACATTTTTTAATCAAACTATGTACATTTAAATAAAATGCATATTTATAATATCAAATATTGTTTATTCTTAAATTGTGAATTTTTCATATGAAATATAGGGAAATGCTACGGTCCCGTTACAGAACTATTCTGTCGGGGTTTGTAACCGTTGGATCAACTCGTTAGAACATCATGTACCCGCCGGAGATAGTTGATCTAACGGTTACAAACTCCGACTGAATGATTCCGTAACGGGACCGTAACATCTCCCTGAAATATATATATATATATATATTTGTAAGAAAAAAAAAAGAAATATGTTGATCTAACTATTAAGTGTGTCTTACAAAAACCAACCTAGAAAAGTGGAGAAAAAAATTGGTATTGTGGTATTTTATTTGGACAAAGGACACATATTCTGTTTGTTTAATGCTAATACATATGAGTAGTAATTTTATTTTTTTAATGATGTGTACGGATTTATGTTTTTTAGCCAACAATTACTAGTTAGTACATAGTGTGATGAGTTTTGGTACATATTGCATATATAATTATTCCTAAGAAGTATTTGTGTAACTAGAAAAAATATATTCACAATGCACTATATTAATATTAATATGACTATAGCAACACGTGCCTTATCCATTTACACCTTGCTAGTTTGTGAAATTTGATATTTTATAACACTCTTTAAAAAGCATATATATTACCAAATTAATATTATGATGAAGCTTTTCCAAAATATAATTAAATAATGATATTTAAAAAAATATGTTAATATAATAACTCATACATGGTTACATTTTCCTAACAATCACGACTTAATATGTCATTTATATATTGATATGATAAGAACTCAACTTATCACATAAATTTCATATAATTCTCACACGTAATTCAGATTTGTGTATATATTTTTCATCTGATATATTGTATTTATTTGATTTTTTCATTACCGTATCGACTTATCATATAATTCAAAATTAAAAAAAAAAAATACAAAAGCTGGTACAATTCAAAATGACAAAATACAATAAGCACCAAATTATGAAACACTCCAAAGATGCAACAATACGCCATGATTTTGGATTGGTATACATTTTCATACTCAAAAAAAATAATAATAAATAAATAAAACTTTACACATATTAAGCTTTTTGTTTTGTTCAATGATTTTTGTGTAGCAGATCAGATAGCGCCGTACGTGACATTGTTTGGTGAAAATTCTGGTGGTTACAGTCTGCTGCCACGTGGTGATTCAATTTTAGGTGCACTATTTTATTTCTAATTTTTTTTATTTACTTTTGAATATATTAAATTTTTGAAATATAGAAAAGGACAAAGTAATTAAAAAAATTAAATTAAATGGATAAAAAAGGACTAAATAACCGTAAGGTCATTCAGTGGGTGTGATGCAGTAAGTAGTGCAGTGGGGCTGCAGGTTGTTGACTGGTCTCGGATCTTGGGCTCCTCCTTCATTGACTGTACAATCTTTATTTTCTGTACTGTACGCTTCAAAAGTTAATGACATTTACATATATAATATTTGATGAAATAAGTAGTTTTTATCATATGTTTCATAACTATTAATAATATACTCCCCAAAAAGAAAATAAATAAAGAATGTGTTGGGAATTCCAACCACACCGAAACTCCGCCCAAGATCTTCTAAAAATAAAAACCTGGAGAACACAAAATTTAACGTGGAAAACCCTCTGTTAACGAAGAGGGAAAAACCACCAGGGCAACAAGGCCGTAGAAAATCCACTATGTAAAAAAAATTACACAATTTTTCTACCACTCACTTACCCAAAATTACCCCACAGAATTTTCTACTCGTTAACCCTAACTCTCACCCTAAAGAATTTTTGCTCTAAGGAATTTTTTACCAGAGATTAATTGTTAACACAATAACTCTGTGGGATGATTTTACATAAGAAGTAGCACTTTCTTATATAGGAGAAAAATCTCCCTCTCTTTCATTCCACAATCGATGTGGGACAAAGAGCAAAACCCAACAAACTTCACCTTGCGATTTTGGCCCATCCGACAGCCACTATTCACTTTGATGAAATTTTTCATAGCTTTCGCCATCATGCTCCACCATAAAAGCATATCCACTCGGACTCGCATCCAAGCATTTCTTCGGCCCATGTCGAAATAACCTTGCTGAAATCTATGGTGCAACTTCCACGTTTGGCTTTCCTGGAAGTTCATCAGCCCTCGACACGCTTTTTTCACCACACACCTTGCATCACCGCCAAACCAATGCCCGTGTGTAAACTGTGGACCCGCTAATTTTAACACGTCCTCTTTCATGACACTTAGCGACATGCCATAAGGACTCCTCTTTCTCTCTTAGCAAAACTCATCCATGGAGAGAGAGACAAAATTAGCTTCTTCGGTATCTCCACTTACCGACTTGGAGCCTTTTGCCGAACCTGCTCCTCATTTCGGACAATTTCTTTTCACGTGCCCAGATTGTCCACACGTCCAGCAAATCACAACTTGCTTCTTCCTGGAGTTCCTCTTCTTTCCGTCACCGACGAGCATGACTTGACCTTCCGGTGAATTGTTTCGTCCACCGTCTAGCCTTCTCTCTTCCGCAAGAAGTTTACCAGTGACTTCAGAAAATATAATTTTCTCCTTCCCATGAATCAAGATCAGCTTCATGTGTTCATAAGAAGTTGGAAGAGACCAGATGAGTCTCAACGCCTGATCCTCATCATCAATCTTCACTCCAATGGATTCCAGCTCCGAGACGATCCCATTGAGAACGCTTAAGTGGTCTGAGATGCTTTGACCTTCAGTCATTCGCAGTGTGTGAAACTGCTCCTTCAGATACATCCGATTTGAGAGGCCTTTAGCCTGATACAACTCCTCAAGCTTGTCCCATAATGCTTTTGCCGTCGAAATTCCATGCACATTAGCAAGAACATTCTTGGCCAGACACAGTCGTATCGCGCTTGCCGCTCTCAAATCCAGTTCCTCCCAATCTTCATCGCTCATTCCAGATTTGCTCACTCCAGCTTTTTCTTCAGTGTTGCTGGTAGCACTGCCTTTGGGAATTTCCGAGCCCTTCAAAGCTTTGTGTAACCCCGACTGAATCAGCACGTCCTTCACTTGCACTTGCCAAAAGCCAAAGTTGATTTTTCCGTCGAATTTCTCCACATCAAATCTCGCCAGATTCGATATCTTATTTCCAGACATCTTCGTGAATCAGTGAACACTAACTTCGCAGAAAACCGAGCAGCAACCTTTAATAGTACTGATCAGATAAATTCTCAGGGAGGGTAGCGACCTGCCCCCTAAAGAATTAACCTTCTAAGTAAGCTCCCAGGAAAGGCTGGTGGGGTCACAACGGTCCCACTTAAAAAACCAGTCTCCTAGACAGAACCTACTTACACAGTAATTATTCCCCACTGCCCAAAAAACTCCTTTGCACACAAGCTCCACCCGTCACTGGCTCCACCGCACGAAGAGACCTCTTTGGTATCTTTTCTGATGTGGAAGATCAGACAAAACTGCAACCACAGAGCATACTCAGAATACCAACTAGGCTAACCTCGCTCTGATACCACTTGTTGGGAATTCCAACCACACCGAAACTCCGCCCAAGATCCTCTGAAAATAAAAAACTGGAGAACACAAAATTTAACGTGGAAAACCCTCTGTTAACGAAGAGGGAAAAACCACCAGGGCAACAAGGCCGTAGAAAATCCACTATGTAAAAAAAATTACACAATTTTTCTACCACTCACTTACCCAAAATTACCCCACAGAATTTTCTACTCGTTAACCCTAACAGAATGGACTTAGTATATATGTCATACAATTTGAAAATATGGTTAAGGTTTGGAGGTTCAATTGAAATTTATTTATTTTTTTATTTATTTCAGTTTATGTTGCCTCATTTGGATTAATCATCTTAATTTAGTATGATTATAATATTTGTACGCCTCTCGTGTATTAATTAAATTACTAGAAAATTAAAGTAAAAATTTTAAATTTTCAGATACTTTGGAAAACTGGCAATTTTATTTTATGATTGTTTTGCATATTTTATTATATTGTTTTTGGTGTTTTTATGGTTTTTCGTCCTAATTCATTTGAACTCATTTTATAGATTTTTTGGTCCATTAGGTTGATTTTTGCTTCTTTTTTTTTTTGTATTTTGTTTATTTTTTTTATTTTATTTTGTAAGAAAAATTATCCGATAATTCACCGAAAACTTTGTCAGACTGCTAGAAACCGCCATCCGTGACCATCAGGCATCACTAATGGTCGTGGCATCGAGCTAGTAATCGCACAACAAGGCCATGCATCATCTGAGTACATTTGAACAGCACACTGCAACAAGCGGGCGCCAACGCATCTCGTCGTGGCCGGCGATTGCGATGTGCAGTCGCGTCGGACCGCCCCCAATCCTTAGTGGCTGCGATGCTTCCTCGACCCTAGGACACACATTTTCGAGTCATTTAGACGCGCCTCAAAAAAACCTGAATTGTTTTTTAGTCGTTTATCAAATTGATAACAAAGTAATAGGTAGGAAATATGTCGAAGTGTCCATAACAACCTCGACGAAATAATAATAAAAAGAACATCCCAAGAAAGATCGAATAGGGTCCCGAACACACACACACACACGCAAAAAAAAAACAAACAAACTACTCGTACATATTTTTCCTTATATGTACTTTTTTCTCTGTTTTCACTTTCGCTCGTTGGAGATGGATATTCATATAGATGAAGACGCTCACTTTGTAAGCCTTGTTCTTCACTATTTTCTTAGGAATTATAGAAAATTATTTTGTTTGGCTTGTTTCTTTTAAGCATGGGTTAATAAAACCATCCATGGCTACAAATTTTCACTTTTCTCTTAAGTTTGTGTTGAATATGGTAGTTTATGTTGTTCAAATCATATGAATATCATGATTAGTTGATTTATCACAATCTAGTTTAGATAGATAACATAGAAACCGAAAGGGAATAGGGTATCAACCATGGTTTGAATGGGTAGACATGTTTGAAAATATATTATCAATAAGTTTACTAGCTTAATACGTAGTTTGCGTATATCCAAACTTGTGTTTATAAAGTATGGGCGGGGCACTGGTCTTTAGGTTTCTGTGTATGTTTTCACTTATTCATTTATGTTCAATCTCTTATTATGAAAGTTATTGAAAATGAATCGTTGGGCACTTAAGAAAGAAGCTCAACCTGTAGTCCTAACAATAATATGTTCGACATATATTATAGAACTTGAGGAGATTATTCTCAACGCCCTGATATTTTCTTCTACATCTCCATTTATTAATTTTATAGCTATTTAATGCGTTTTTAATCGGTAGGTTTAGGCAATTTCTCTAAGTTGCTCTTAATTTATTTCCATGTCTTATCTATAGTAACACTAGAATTTGAACCGTTCTTCTCATGAGATCGATCAGAAGTCGGAATTCATCTTGTAATCCGTTAAAAAAATACTACAACAATGACATTCATTACATAATAGGCTTACATATAAATTTATTTAATTATTAAGAAGTAGTTTATTACTTTTCATTTAAGATAATTCAATCTATATTTATGAAGGTAGATATTATTTTTTATACGCAATATGGATATAATTTCACAGATCGATAAAAATGATTAACTTTTATATATACCATTAGCTAATAAATTATTAAAGTTTTACATTGCATGTGCAATTTAATTAAGTTGATATAATGAAAGAAACTGGGAGAACGGGTGCGGGCCCACTAACAACTAACATGAAACGCACCATGATTAATGAACGGGAAAAAGTCCATATAAAGTCCAAGTGGAGTTCCATTCCAAAACCAATTGGTGGAAGGAGGAGTAACCCATTAAACTTATAATGTGGGTCTATTTTTCATATATGAACGATGTGGGACAACTCACAAGTGATATTCTAACACACTCCCTCACTTGTGAGCCCTTCGAAAGTCCAAGTCCAACTGGGTTGGGTGATGGGTACGTCATCGCACGGTCACGAAACTGAGGGGAAAACAAGTGCGGGCCCACTAACATTAAGCGCACCATGAGCGGGGAAAAGCCTATATGAAGCTTAAGTGTGGTTCCATTCCAAAACCAAATGTTAGAAGGAAGAATAGTCCACTAAACTTATAAAGTGGGTCTATTTTCACGTATGAACGATATGAGTTATTATATAATTTCATATGTTTTATATAATGGATTAAAATTTGACACTTTTACTTGAAAATATTTTCGTATACTTTTAGAAAGAAATAATCATGTAGGCCGATTATACTATAATGGTCCTAATGAAATCTATCAAGTTCACTCCACCTACCACGTTTTATTAAGTAATTAATTAGTTAATTAATTAATTGTCCTTATCTACAGGAAGTTTGTAAAAAAAAAAAAAACACTCATTTTTTACCGCATAAGCGAGGTTTAATGTCACTTCACATTAATTTACTCAAATCTCCAAATTCGACAGCGACCCCGTAAAAATAAAATAACATAAATGTTGACTTCAATAGTTAGGTCGTGTTTGTTTGGCGCTTGTTGAAATGAAAGCATTAATTAAAAAAAAATCCCAAAAGGCGACTCGAAATGTGTGAGAGTGAGAAAAAAGCCGCCAAAATCAAGGAAATATACGTGCGGGCCCCACGCTCTTTCACACACGGCCAAACAGGTCCTCCGGCCCGGAATCCGATGACGTGGACGGTGGGGCCCACAGGGGGATTTTGGAGGATTCATCTCTTCAATGCCACACTCCTAACTTTGACGGGTCCATTTTTATTATTGTACCTTTTTATATACGGATTCATCATTAATAAATTACTATACTAACTCTTTTTTTTTTTTTTTAATTTCTATATTTTTTACCATATAGTAATAATATTGTTATAGTTAGTTGATATTGACCAATATTAACCAAACAATCTAATAAAAAAATAATAATAAAATAAAAAAAAAATCAAATAGCGCATGACAAATAAAGGATATTGCTTTTGCTCAATTTTACTTTTTGGAGCACGTTGAGATACTATGAGGCTGACATAATAATGTTTTTGATGTGGAAAAAGGAAAATATATTAACACCTTTTTGTTTCTTATGGAAATTTATGTTAAAAACCCAAGATTGATTACAACATGAATTTGGTCAAATTACAAGTCAAGATTCTAAATTCTAACTACCCAAATTAACTATTAATGAATCTGTAATTGGTCAAACCATATCAAACCCTAAGATTGCACACTATGCTAAATAACTGCGGGTGACCCGACTCCCATCGTTCTTACCACGCATATTTCATTGTTTGTAGATCTGGATCGAATCGGTTGTAGTGAGCTTCGAACCGTTTGAATCGCCACTAACTCTGCAAGAATTCAACGCCGGAGGAGTTTTCGGCGAAGAACCTTCGATGCTTAAGTCAAAAGGAGAGGGAGAGATGCTCTCTAGAAAGAGCAATATTAAAATGTGTAGAAAGAATAAAAGTTGTGAGAAGGAGGTACCTCAACTCCTTTTATAGGAGAAATACCTGCCCGGAATGCCCTCGATCAGCCTGCTCGGCTGCCCAGATCTTTAATGTTTATCCATATCATAATCACCTCTTAGTCAAATCCTAGTTAACTTGAAATTTCATCATATTCTATAAAGATTCATCCTTATCCCCTAAACTTGTTGCCTGCCAAATATGATCTTTATCAGTGTAAATCTCGAGTTGTGAGGTTTAGTGAGGTCGACATCGAAATGCATGAGGTCGACTAAAGTTCCTTTTATTGATAAGTAAATGTTGCTATCTCTATGCGACTCTTCTCGCATGTCGCTTCTCGATCGTTCTCGGGTTACTTGTCTTCCAAGTCTTTGTCTCATCAATCGATCTCACAAGCCGACTCGAGGGCCTTAAGTCATTAATCATCAATCGAGTTAAGGATCTCGAGTTGCTATCGTTCCAAAGATTATAATAGGTCTGCCTCATGGGCAACTCGACTACTGTCCGGTCGAACTGTCAACACCAGTCTGTGCAAGTATAGCTATGTATATCACACCAATTGAAAATGTTATAGAAAAAATAGATTAGATGAATCTTATATAGAAAACTATTAGTTGAATGCTTGTTTGACTTCATACAATAAAAAAAATATATACTTTATTAATGTAAAGATAAAATTATAATGCAATGATTTCATACTTTTTTTTGTGAATTAATTAAAATATGTAAATATGTGTACATAATTTTAAATGAGATCTTTTGAATGTGTAGGTAAGGCCCAAGTGAAAATCATTCCTAATTAACTATATTTTGGACTCTAGCTAGCTCAATTTAACTGGGAGCTAGCTAGACTCGATTCATTTAAATACTTGTTTAGTTAGAGATCGAAGACTAATTTATTTATCAAATGATAACACACTACTAGGAAAAAAAATTCAACTTTTGCCACTATTGTCATTTGTCACAAAATTCTCATTATAGTTGCTAAAACTTACATTTTAGTAAAAATGTTTTGTATTGAATATTATTGTTAGTTTTATTTATTTTTTGCAACAATAAGTGTTACGACTAAATTCCTAAAATAAAGAATCTCATTACATATAGTTGTCACGATTTAATATTCATACCTAATTTAAGGGCACATTCAATTTATCTTTAAGAAAGAAAAAAATAAAGAGATGGGCATAGGCTATTTATCCACAGCACCAACTCTGGCAATAGAATCCCAACAACTCCAATAAAATTAGTTGACAACAGCCAACGATAAATGATCAAATCATCATAGAATATATCTATCTGCCAAAATCTGTTGTATATATCATCTTTATTTTAATTTATCCCTCCTTATATATTAATCCAAAACGTGTTGAACCTAGGTGACAGATTCTCATGCTTCGGATGTTGACACGGCGAAAATCTATACTTCGTGCTCTGGAGTTAGATTTGGTATTAGACATAAATAACTTTGCACATATATTTATTAACTCAACACTCATGTTGCACATGGGTATTAATACTAGTTTTATATTATAACAAACAGCTTCAAATGTATATGTAAATCACATCAAGCTAATTTTATTCAATTTTTGTCTATCCTATAAGATATAAAAGTATTTATTTGGGAAATTTATTTGGGAAATTTTTGTCTATCCTATAAGATATAAAAGTATTTTCAATTTTACCTTAATATAAAAGTATTTTCAACAATACCTAAACCAACTATTTTATTTAAGGGATTGCATCTAATCAGTTATCTTGTACGTGCGTGAAATCCGCGATTTGGAAATAATAATAATAATAATAATAACTGATTTATTTATTACTTCCTTAATTCACGCAACTTGTACATTGTAGTTCAAACAGCCGTCAGGTAGTATATTTTGGGTTTATGTTAGTATATATTAAGTGTATGTTGCCATATTATAATTCACGCATCCGCCAGGTGTTATATTTTGAGTTTATGTTATGTTATATTTTGAGTTTATGCTAGTACATATTCAGTATATGTTCAATAAAAAATGATCTTCCACAAAAAAAATAATATATATATATATATTTTTTTATTTTTATACATAAAAGTATATAGAAACACCAAAAATTCCAAAATTTTGGGGGGGAATTTCCGCCGAACATACACCAAAAATATACTTCAAATATACTAAAAATGTGTAACAGGTGCAGAAAGTCAGTGACAAAAGTGTATATCATAGAAAGAGAAAAGATACTTCGGATAGAGAGAAAAGTTACCTCGGATATACCCATCAGATAACCCGAGAAAAAGTTACTTTGGATATACTCGGATATACCCAACATATAACACAAGAAAAAAAGGAACCATTAAAACAGATACCAGAGAAAAATTATTTCGGATATACTCGGATATACCCAACATATACCCAACTCGGTTTTGTAAAAATACCTTCGAATTATAATCAAATCATACAAAAAAAAGGAAAGAAAAAAAGGGTCAAATTCTAGGGAACACGAGACGGATTCTTCTTGTCATCGACTCAAGCAGGAGGGTAAACTCGCTGGTGCTGCGCGAACTAGGAATCGCCGGAGGAGGGTCGCGTCGGGGGTGGCTGTTCGCGGGCGGAGGGCGATCGAAATTCGGTAGGTTTTCTCATTTTCAGACTGGAAGTCGTCTGGCGGGAGAATTTTACGAAGTTGGGCACTAGATCTAATAACCGGTGAAACGTCCCCACCATCCGCCGGATTTTTTTGTTGAGGAGGAGGGATTTTGGTTTTTGCCATTGAAGGGAATTTTGAGATCGGCAAAACTGTTGAGCGGTTTGAGAAGATGAAGGGATACGTGTGTTGGTGGGGATGACTACCTTTACCTTTTAGTTCCACTTTTTTTGGTAAGTGGATATTTAATTTGACTTAAGTATATCATTACCATTATTAAAAATGTTAATAAAGGTTAATAAGGAATTTAGGCATAATTGAAAATCTTTTATGTGATTTAGGTGATTTTAAAAAAAGAAATAAAAGAGGTGCAAAAGTGATAAATATTTTAAGCATGACAGTATGGCATGCAATTTCCTCTATTTATTTCGATGCGTTTTGTTTGCATCTGATTTGATGAGATCCATATACTGTGGCCAAAATCTGGTCCCATTGATTGAGGATTACAAATAAAATCTGATTATCTTCCCCCTACTGATAGAGATGGCCACGGGCCGGACCACCAGTGAACCGACCTCGACCCGGCCCGAACCGGCCTCCTAAGGGCCGGTTCGTTGAACCGGACCTGTAGGGCCACGGTTCGGTTCGGGGCCATGATTTTTTATTTTATTTTTTGTTTTTTTACCCGCCGGTCCGGGCCGGGTCGCGGGCCGGACGGTGGGCCGCGTCGTTATTTTCTTTTTCTTCTTTAAGGGCCGTCCTGGCCCGTGACCCGCCGGGCTGGTGAACCGGCGGTTCGGGCCGGTTCATAGAACCAGCCCAAAGATTTTTTTGGGCCGGTCACGAGCCATGGTGTTGAGCCCGCCGATCTGACGGGTCGGGCCGGGCCGGGCCGGGCCATGGCCCGGCATCTTAGGGAAATCGAGCATGCTTTATATATATATATGTGAAGTATAAATTATAGAAATTCTTAGGGAGTCATATTCCTTATATGTAAATGCTTTTATATTCAAACATTATCCATTTCATTGATAAATAATAGGAAAATGCTATTTGTACCGCAGGGGTTGTACCGCATGGTGTACCCTTCATTGAAAACGTATTTTGAGAATACGTTTTTCAATTAAATTATTTGAAAAACGTATTCTGAGAATACGTTTTTTAACCAAAGTGTAAACCCTGCGGTACAAGCTGCGGTACGTGTAGCATTGTCCTAAATAATATTATTAATATTAAATAGTATTAATAGATAGTTTATTTTTAAATAAATATATTTATTAATGTCAAATTAAAACTCAATTATTAGTTAGATATATACTTTTAAAATTATTAATTATAATTAGTCAGGTAGAGATCTAGTGATAGTCACGGATATAAGTCCAAATATATATATATCCCCTATATATTAATCCAGAACGCGCTGAGCCTACGTGGCTGCTTCTGGTGCTTCGGAATCTTATGTGGAAAAATCACATGCTTCGTTATTAGGATTGGGTAAACTTTAATTTAATTCCAAACCAAAAATAATTAGGTTCGGATTATCATAAATATGTTGATTATTTATGGTCATATTACATGTATTAATTGCATTTTAATATCATTCCTTATTATAACTATTGAATTGTGTATATATTTTAAAAGTTAATAACTTTTGTATTTTTTATCAGTTTTACATATGTAATATATCAAATTAATCTTC